CCGGGTCGAAGTGGAAGTCGGTGGAGGCAGAGAGCGGGAGCCCGTCCCTCGCCCGCACCACGCAGGCAAAGAGGATCATGGACATCCTCCACCGAAGAAGTCATGGGGACAGCCTGCAAATAAGACATTCACACAATGCATCTCTGCTCTTCGGGATTAGAAGACCTGCATAAACACAATTTTATTAATTTTTAATGTAAAATATTTTTACCCTGCCTTTCTCTTAAAAAAGGACTCAGGGTGGCTTACATCATTGAAATACAGCATTCAAAATCTACAATCAGTAAGTATAGACATGTTAAAAACAAGCAAACCAGCGGTCTCAACCAGGAGCACATGGTACTGCGGTTAAGATGCAGACGTCATCCGAGCAGGATGCGTTTACGAAGAAATCACTCTTCTCTGTCAGTCCTGCATGGACCCTGGCGAGCGTCCTGGGTCACTTCCCATCAACCCAACCTGCCATTGATTTTGACCTTTCCTAAAGGCTATCCAGGCTGGCTCTTCTGCCAGGAGGCACAAACGGGGAATCGAACTCCCAACCTCTGGCGCCTCGGCCAGATTCCTAAACCATGGAAACAGAGAAATGCCCTTCTAAGAAAATACGGAGGGGCTTAGTTTCTATCATGGGGAGACTTGGGCTCTTTTGAGTAGACACAGTCTAGAAGGGCGGGATAAAAATCTAATAAATAAATTTGACGGCAATTAAGATCGAGAACCTTGAGGCATCTCAACTCTTGGGGAAAGAAAATGATGATATTGGAATCACTGATTGTCAGGAAAGAGGACAGGCGAGCATGTCACTATTCCTTACGACAGCCTCACTCTACTGCCTACGAAGCAGGTCTTCATGATGCAAACTCTACATGCACAAGATTACAAAGTGCTGTGCGTTCGTCTCTTGCCACGTTCCAAAGTATCGTTCCAGCGGGGAACTCTTCTCGGTAACCTCTGTCAACTGCCCTCTAGCAACCAAGATAAAGCCTGCCTTGTCAGCAAACCGCCAACCTTGGATAGACCAAGAAGCGCTCCGGCATCCTGAAAGATCGTATTTCTCTCTGTAGACAAGCCACCTCCTTTTCTAAGTGGGTGTGAAGAAGAAGGTTGACAGGTACCAGAACGTTTGCCAAATACCCTCCATGCAAATATAAAATAAAAATAAAATAAAAAAAGCATCAGTGGCTATGCACCAGCAAATCTTCTAGAGGCTTGCTTCTCAAACTGGGTATTTGCACACACTCTACCCAGAATCACTTATGGAATCCCACCATGGTGTGGCATTTTAAACACTACCTCTCTCCACCGTTTACAGCTTTGCTCCGGGGCTTCGCTGCTCTGCAAGACTTCAGGGTTATTTAGAAAATCAATATACGCCGCCATCCAGCTGAACACCCGTGTTTACAAAACACAGGCTTCCTGCACAAGTGGGAGGCTGGACTAGATCACCTTTAGGGCCCCCTCCCCTGCCTACGTAGGCATTCCCCGTGCTTGAAATGTGTGGGTTTGGATCCACAAAGGCTCACATTGAAATAAACCGGCGTGTCTTTAAAGTGCTACGATATTTTCTTTGGCAGGGGCTGTTTACTTTTCTTTTCTTTCCCCATGCAAGCCCTAGGAGGAGGAAAGAGGGAAAGAACTGGGGCACGTTTAGCCTTGAGAAAAGAAGACTTATGGGGAGATAGGAGAGGGCTTTTCAAAGACTTGAAAGGCTGCCCTTCAGAGGAGGGGCAGGATCTGGTCTCCATCATCCCAGAGTGCAGGACAGGCAAACAAGGGCTCAAGGGACAGGATGCCAGATTTTGACTGAAGAGCGGGGAAAAACTTCCTGTTAGAGCAGTTAATGCGGCAGCCAGGCTTCTTAGTGGGGTGAGGAAATATCAGCATATCTCCCCCACGCTGGCTGCTTTGCATTGGTTGAGGGGCACGGTTAGCCTTGAGAAAAGAAGACTTATGGAGAGATAGGAGAGGACTTTTAAAATCCTTGAAAGGCTGTCATCCAGAGGAGGGGCAGGATCTGTTCTCCATCATCCCAGAGTGCAGGACAGGCAAACAAGGGCTCAAGGGACAGGATGCCAGATTTTGACTGAAGAGCGGGGAAAAACTTCCTAACTGTTAGAGCAGTTAATGCGGCAGCCAGGCTTCTTAGTGGGGTGAGGAAATATCAGCATATCTCCCCCACCCTGGCTGCTTTGCATTGGTTGCTCATTCGTTTCTGCATTGATTTCAAAGTTTTAATGATGACGTACAAAGCCCTAAACGGTTTGGGACCTCGATATCGGGCAGATCGCCTTCTCCCTGCTAGGTCTACTCAAATTGCTTCGTATTTTCGCCCGGCGGATACGTGAAACCGCGGATACTGAAAACACAGCGGCGGGAGCCTCCTACGGAGCGACCCCCCTCCCATCCCGGCACCCACTGGGCCACCCAAATCCGTTGGAAAATCAATATACGCCGCCATTCAGCTGAACACCCGTGTTTACAAAACACAGGCTTCCTGCACAAGTGGGAGGCTGGACTAGATCACCTTTAGGGCCCCCTCCCCTGCCTACGTAGGCATTCCCCGTGCTTGAAATGTGTGGGTTTGGATCCACAAAGGCTCACATTGAAATAAACCGGCGTGTCTTTAAAGTGCTACGATATTTTCTTTGGCAGGGGCTGTTTACTTTTCTTTTCTTTCCCCATGCAAGCCCTAGGAGGAGGAAAGAGGGAAAGAACTGGGGCACGTTTAGCCTTGAGAAAAGAAGACTTATGGGGAGATAGGAGAGGGCTTTTCAAAGACTTGAAAGGCTGCCCTTCAGAGGAGGGGCAGGATCTGGTCTCCATCATCCCAGAGTGCAGGACAGGCAAACAAGGGCTCAAGGGACAGGATGCCAGATTTTGACTGAAGAGCGGGGAAAAACTTCCTGTTAGAGCAGTTAATGCGGCAGCCAGGCTTCTTAGTGGGGTGAGGAAATATCAGCATATCTCCCCCACGCTGGCTGCTTTGCATTGGTTGCTCATTCGTTTCTGCATTGATTTCAAAGTTTTAATGATGACGTACAAAGCCCTAAACGGTTTGGGAGCTCGATATCGGGCAGATCGCCTTCTCCCACCTAGGTCTACTCAAATTGCTTCGTATTTTCGCCCGGCGGATACGTGAAACCGCGGATACTGAAAACACAGCGG